TACATGAGTTAGGCCTACTTTATTTACTGTATTTAAAATGTATATTAATTGAATAATGTGGCAGCTGACGCGAACTGAGTTATCGTGAACGAATTGCTCTATGCAGCCCATAACCATTACCGTATAGTAGCCTTTTACTTTTAAATATGTCGGTAAATTGTCTAGACATTTATTGGTCGTATACGAGCAGTATTGACCGCAGTCCGGTTTTTCTTTCTTCTATTATTATTATTCTAATTATTCTTATATTATTATTATTATTATTATTATTATTATTATTATTATTATTATTATTGTTGTTGTTATTTATATTAGCATGAGCCCTAAACTATACGCCGAATAGGTTTTTTTTTTGTCTATAACAGAGATAACACTACATATCACGGATAAACATTTGATCACGTAACAAACACTATTATGCCTACGGATAGGCATTATGAGTTATATTAACTGGCTTTCAACCACTTACCAATCCAAATAACAACGCAGACGAAGAACACCTTGAACGAGGTCCTCTTCTGGCGCGATGCCACCGCGTGCACAATCATGTAGTACCGATCAACAGACATGGCGGCCAGTGTGAAACATGTTGCCTGAACTGTAACCTATGGATTTCAAATCATAATAATGATGAAGTATTATTATATAGAAAAAATCAGAGTTAATTAACCCATCTGGCAGACATTCCATTTCGTGGAATGACGTACCGTATAGTTCTGTTACGTATTTTCATATTTAATGTATGACACAAGTTCTGTGTAGACTTTGGGGATATAAACACATTTTCTTCGTGTGGCCTGTTGTATTTGTTTTCATGGTGACAATCAGAAGCAAAAAGATAGGTTTAGAATTTCGGGTACAAAGGCAGAGCTTACATTCCGAGACTTCCTGATTGAACGAGCCCAGCGTACTACTCGCATCAACGAAGATATAGCCATATTGATGTGGAACTTTTGGTACAGAGGTTGCGTTTTAGGATTTCAACCTCGAAGAGGTTCGAACCCTCGCTGTGAACTCCACGGGATACACAGGGAGGTAAAAATAAATCTTCCTGGTATAAGTAAATACGCACAGCGAACCCTACTTATAATTTTTTTCTTATTAACATACTCAATGAAGATAGGTTCTTTCGAGTCGCTGGCCCAAAGCTGTTGATTGCGCTCCCATCAGATGAGATCCGGAAATCTCTTTGCACCTCCATATTAAAAAAAAAAAAGGCTTAAGAGTAAGCTTCACCAATGTTTATATTAGGCGCATATTTTTAGTCAATTTTGTTAGTTAGGTTAGACTATTCTGAAACAAATATTAGAGAGCTGTGCTGTTGCCAAACGAAATTCCAGAAAAACGATGGCTCCACTGCAAAAGATGTTGTTCTTTTCTTTTCTAGTTTTCTGGTAAATTTTAAGACAATTTTTTATTGATATAATTTTAACTGCTATTAATACTTTTAATATCAATGGGCCTAACCGTCCCTATATCAGCATACCACTACCACTCTTTTTCAGGGGCGCCTAACTGTATTTTGTTAACAAATTTATAAGTCGTCAGCATGCAGGGGACGTCGACATTTTGTCAAACAGGTTCTGTTTGACACCGGCTCCTCCAAGTCAGTCATAAAATATCTCGCACCCGCCTCACAAAACAAGGCCTTTGTGTAGTGAGTGGATAAGATTCGGGTAATGGGAAGATATGTGGGTACGCTAATTTTAGAAGTCATGCTCCAGAGGGAAAAATCGTTGTACAACAGGGACGTATTGGGGGGGGGGGGGGGGCGTGAGAGCCGCGGCTCCCCTCCCCCACTTTTGTACACAGTGATACATTTTTAAGCTGTACAATTTTTAATTGATTCTTTCTACCATAGGTTTGGTGACCGTGCTATGGCAGAAACCCACCATAAACTTCTATCCATAAAAGTCACCCGCTAACCTGACAGTAATTCAGTGGAATATTTATTAGATTGATCAATTTTTCACTATACACGATAACGTAAAAATTAACATTTTCGGGTTTACAACGGCTGCCGATTAGGGAGGATTTATCAAACTTACTTAACAAAAATATCAGTATAAATTCGTCTTAAATCCATAAATCCCAGGCCAGGTCTTTATAGATTAAGAAATGTGATATTGTATGGTTCAATCTGGTTTTTATCCTTTTGCAAGCTTTATAAATATTTGTTTAATACTACTATTAGTAGTAGTAGTAAGTAATAATGATAATAAAAATAACAATAATTACGATGATTATGACGATGATGATGACGATAACGATGGTGATGATGACGACGACGATGGTGATAATGATAATAATATTAATATTAAAATGTAAAAAAAGATTGTTCTAATAGCGAAAAAGAAAGTTGTGATTTGTTGATCAATAATTATCATAGTGTAAATTAAAGCTTATTAAGGTATAGTTGGGCCTAAGTTGTCCTGGATATTAATTAGACCTCTGATAAAAAATCATGAGAAATGTGATGGCGCTTCATTTTGACTATAAAATGGTAATGTGATGATGTTGAAATTTACTATATAAAAGTGTTATTTCCCGCCATCTAGAGGGACTATTTTTCTCAAATTTTCTCACCATGGTGGGCCTGAGGTTGTTGTGAAATCACGGCTTTGATGTATGTAAAGTACATACATCAAAGCCGTATATCTTAGTGATTGCTGTGGTGAAGGTGTATAATTGTTTTCAGGAAGTGATCTGGTTTTTCATGCCCAATTTTCGTGATTATGACTATTTTGAGTAAAGAATGTTTTGTTCAGTGCCGGATTCAAGGGTACACACCACCCTTAATTTGTTAATGGGAAAAAAAGTCTGAAAGTGTAATTTCCGCCAATCTAAAGGTGACTTGATCATAAATTTTCTTATCTAAGCCCCAACCATAATGGGGCTGAGGTGGGTGAAATCTCAGTCTATGAAAGTCTCAGTCTCCCTGGGTCACCTCTCTTTCGAATTCCTCGATCCGCCACTCCTGAGTAATTATATAACTAGAAAATGCAAATTGCAAGTGAAGTGCTGCGAAGTACAACTGCATATAAATGTTCTTCGAACAAAATTATTTATGCGAGTCAAGTGAAAATAATGAATAATAAAAATATAACAAATAATATGAGACACGACCCATTGTCTATATTAGAACACTTCTCATTGGGTAACAAAGTCGTAATTTTTCATTTTTGTCAAAAAGTGTCTATAGAGGTGAATTATGGTTTAGGTTTTTTTTAAATAAAGTTTAAAAAATTTCTATGTATGTGGAAAATGTAGTTGATTACCAAAGGTTACAATTTTTATTTTGAAGACTGCATGGTCTAGGAAGTGTACATTTTTTTTATGGGGCAAGTTTCCAAGGGCGGGTTTTCTAGGGGCGAGTTGACTGCCAAAGTGCGAGCCAGCGTGTTATTTGATCACAAGTGCGAGACATCGCAAGTGTAATCACAGAGCCAGCGAGCCATGACGTCACGACAATAGATACGAGACGTTACTCGAGTTGTGCGAGGTATCGGCTGAGATTTGTGGAGTACAATTCAAAAAACAACTATAGGTCTAATAATGAATTATTGTGATGTTAAATAGACAATGTTAGCTATAAAGGAGCGACGTTGTTTTTCATTGGGACCTTCGTCCCTTCAAGGTTAGGCCTATCATCCTAGCTAGTCTAGGCCTAGAGTAGGATAAGGCTAGCGCGACATGCGGACGTTGGTCGCCTAAAGTAATTGATTTTACCGGCAGAACGAAAGAAGGAAACTCCGCTTTTCAGTCGTCTTAGGCCCTTGTTTTTTGACAAACAATGACCTTTCAGAGGTCAAATTGCTGTCAAGAATATGAATTGGCTGCTTCGCAGCAATAATTGTAGGCTTACTAAATGCGTCTATTGAAATTGTCACTTCATCCTCTCAAAGCAGGCTTAAAAACGTTCAGAGTACGCTACCTCCCAAGAGGCTTCGCCCCTTGACCTCACCTGGGTCCTTGGCGTCCCAAAGCTGTAGAGAAGAAGGGACACCCCCATCACCGCTCGGTACTACGTACCTCGCATAACGGCTCCCCCTCGTTCAAAATTCTGGCGACGTCCCTGTTGTACAACTATTTTCCAAGACACACACACAAAAAAAGAAAGGTGAAAAACGGATGAACCTTTTCCGTCAGTTTTTAAGTATTCAAAAATCTGCATCTCATTAACCGTTCCCGAAGTTTTTTTTGTCAAACATCCTTTTCGTGTCTTAAAACTCAGTTGTGTATCATATCATTTTTTCACCTCCGAAGCCTGGCTTTAAACGTAACCGTATTTTTTCAATGCTGGACTCAGCTGAGACACACTAATCATTGCGAATCTGTTTCTAGTACAGGGAGGTAATTTAAATTATGATCAGCGTAGTTTAGAAGAGTGTATAGTGTTGGCTTCAATCCCCAGTCGAACCACTATCAGTTTTACCTTGCTAAACAAGCCCTTTCGAGACTATACCACTATAATAATTATCCGCGTTGAGCGCGACTTGCCATCAATCTACCTGTGGCCTAATCCGTTTGTGATTCGGTAATCTCTCAAATGCAGGAAACGTAGTAACCCAAAACGATTGCTTTCCCTAACACCGATGGGATACATTTGAAAACAAATCGCTTTACAACAAAGTTTGCGTATAATCCTGTTGATAAGTGTTCATTAGACATTCAGATTGGAAGTGATAAATCATGCTAATAATATATTTTCAGCTCTCGTCGACACTTGTCCTAATAATACATACCGGTACGACACGATAAATATTTAAATATTTATGTATTTAATCTTTTGTGAAAGCGTTGATAATCATTCTAATATTTCATCATGGGTATATCGAATAAAAATCGAAACTGCATTGGGGTTGATCTACAGGGTTTCGTGCTTCGTACAGGTCATTCCATTCATAGAAAAAGCCTTAATTAATGGAGAAAGCGTACCTCGCATTAGCCACAGTAGCCTACGTCATAACTTTGGCTATATAAAAATTATTAGGTCCTATATAAAATTGAAAATTGTTAATCTTATTAATGTAGGCCTATATATTAATGCTTGTGGTGCCACAAGCATTAATGTATATCATTACGTCGCCATGCAAAACTTCAAACTATATTATTAATGTAATGATTTATTCCATGTCCATCTTAATTTCATCTTATTTATAAAATTATTTTTATTATAATTGTATTCATATTATATTGTTTAGGCCTAAGTAAAGAATTACTACGTCCATATTTAATATAATCTGTCTATTTGTTTGTACATATTTATCATATTTAATATTTTGTACAGCTTAGGCCTAAATACCGGTATGGAATGTTTTCAAGAAATACGTATTTGAATGTAACTATAACAATTCCGTTAAAATAGAATATTAAGTTAAAGTAATATAATTGAATAGTTTAATATGTAATTTGTTTTATAGTACAATAATATATGGGACGAACGAAAAAAAAGCAAAAAGATCTGTAGCGGCTTAGAATTGTACCGAAAATTATACAATAATTATAATTGCTCATTATTATATTTTACGAGTTTGTAGTAATTTTTATGCACTTATAATCGTCAGAGGTCAAAGTGCCAAGCCTATCACGTTTCATAATTCGACATCGAAGGAAGAGGGAAGCAGGTGCTCCACATAAAAAAAAAAATTAAATTTATGCTTCAAAGTAGTCACATTCTTAAGAAAGTTATTTCTTTTTTGTCTTTATGTTATATATATTATGTACAAACAAATAGATAAATGATTTGATTTAAATATTATTAAATATTATTTTTCAGCGGCGAATTACAAGATACACCAAAGCTTCTTGATTTGTGAGAGTTTCAGTCGGTTGTATGAGAGAAAGTGCCTTGGGGTTAGAGCTACACGTATATCCTATAAGTGTTTGTGGTCTAGTGGATATGACACTCGCCCCGACAGCGAGAGGCTGTAGGTTCGAATCCCACCAGAGACATTCGTTTTCATACACATACAAACACACACACACACACACCCACACACACAC